CCCATCCTTCCTGGAGCTGGATCTCACTCCCAAAAGTCTCTGCTCACAGGTGCAGGTCTGCTGTACCAGGGCAAATATCCACATAATTGATCCATGTCCCAACTGACTTCCAAATTATACTGGCCCAGTTTCTTCCTTCCCCGACTAAAGAAGCCAGATGGCTTACTCTTTTTACCTGCTGGCTCTCTGTTGCAGGAACTGCACATGCCTTGTGCCTGAGCCCACCTAAGTTGGTGTCACAAGCCTCATGCCCACCCAGCCTAAAATGGCCCAGACTGAAATAAGCTTCCAGGCCATCCTCTGACTCCCTTGTTGCCAGTTTTCAGTCAAGATTCCCATTTGTCAAGTTAAAAAAAAAAAAAATAAAAATAAATAAATAAATAAATAAATAAATAAATAAAAAGCCAACATTGATGGGATGCAAGTAGCTTTTACCTATAATTATTGGTAGAGGCCACATGGAGCTGTTTTTTTTTTAATTAATTAATTTATTTTTGAGAGAGAGAGAGAAAAACACAAGTGGGGGAGGGGCAGAGAGAGAGAGAGAGAGAGAGAGAGAGAGAGGGAGACACAGAATCCGAAGCAGGCTCCAAGCTCTGAGCTGTCAGCATAGAGCCAGACATGGGGCCGAACCTACAAACTATGAGATCATGACCTGAGCTGAGGTTGGATGCTTAACTGACTGAACCACCCAGGTGCCCCTGCAGCTGTTTTGAGGAGAGTGGGGCCACATCTGGGCTTGATGAGAAGTAACATGAGTAATTAGCAATGAGCCCCGTTTACCTCTCTGACATACAGCCCCCATCTAAGAACAACCTTGCTAGAAACCTCAGAGTTATCAGCCTACCTGCTTTGAGACTTTTGTCACCAGATCTCATGGAAGGATGGAAACAGGTGTGGATACTTGAGTAGATGCTCCTGTTTGAAGAGGAAAATACCCATCACCTCTCACTTGGATCCTATCCATGGTCATGCCCTTGCTAATTCCAAATATCCACCATCTATCTACTCTGCTAGATATTTGATAGATGGTGTATGTTTTGGAGCATTTGGAGGCCACATCTGGACGTTTCAGGAAAGGCCACGTGATGGATTAGCAATGTCCACCATGGGTTGGGAGGAAGAATGGGGAGAATGCTGGTGTGCAAACCACATATTTTCCATCCCTGCCCCAGGCCAAGAGGGCAGTATCCTGAGTTATGTGTTTGGGAAAGAGGCAAAATGCTGCATCAGGTCCTCAGGGAGCAATAGCAATATGTCTTGTGTGGTCTCATGACCCTTGTGTGAATCATGAGCACCTCAGCCTGTACCATACGAGGACTTCCTTCCTCACAGCCCAACAGAAGGTCACTGGAATTATCAGCCGAGATCATCTTGAAATATAGTATAGCAAGATCAGTTCAAATAACAAGATTGATCTTACCCTCTCAGCACTTTTATTCCAACTGGGCCTAAATTCCTTTTATAGCCTAGCATAACCAGAGAAAAGACTCTCCACTGATATTCTCCCAATATCACCTACATCTCATAGGTATCCTTGTCTCAGATAAGTACCCTGAAAAGTCAAAAAATATTAAAGCAAAAGAGTGCAATGTGAAAAACCTTGTCACCTGTAGGTAAGGCCTTAGTCCTTAGGACAGGCCAGGGGGCAGAAAACCTCTGAATTCCCTAGGCAGGATTCCCTGTAGTGCTGAAAGTTTTTACTTCAATGATCTCAGAGGGCAGTATGAACCAAAACTGAGGTCAGCTCGATCTTATAATACACAATAATCAAGGAAATGTTAGTTAAAACAAAAGTGGAATTATTTTAACCACTGAGATTAGCAGGGTTTAAAAATTTTTTAAATGATCAGAGTTAGTAAAGTTATAGGAAAGTATACATTCTCATTTCCTGTTGTTGGGAGCATTAATTAAAACAACCTTTCTCTGCATTTTGCAGTTTGTATAAAATTTGAAATGTTCATACCTTTTGGCTCAGCATTTTTATTTTTAGAAATTTATTCTAAAGAAATAATTGGACAAGTGTATCTAAGTGAATGTATGATGATGTTAACTGCAGTGTTTTAAATCAGGAATAACATAAATGTCCAGTAATAGACTTATTTAAGTAAACTGAGGTACATTCAGATGAGATAATTAATATTTTTTTTTAATTTTTTTTTCAACGTTTATTTATTTTTGGGACAGAGAGAGACAGAGCATGAACGGGGGAGGGGCAGAGAAAGAGGGGGACACAGAATCGGAAACAGGCTCCAGGCTCCGAGCCATCAGCCCAGAGCCTGACGCGGGGCTCGAACTCACGGACCGCGAGATCGTGACCTGGCTGAAGTCGGACGCTTAACCGACTGCGCCACCCAGGCGCCCCGAGATAATTAATATTTTAAAGAATATCATGAGAAGTATATATAAATATAAAAATACATAAATAGTTTATAAAATAGTGTGATAGTATGATTATAATTTTATCATTAAAATGTGTATTGTATGTAAATATTTATTCTAAAAAGACTGAAAAATATATATAGCACTGAGGATGAGAAAATAAACTGTGGGCCATCCATACAGTGAAGTATTATGTGGATATTAAAAAGATGAGGTTGATCTATATGCTGATGGGGAAAGATGTCTATTATATATATATATATTTTTTTTTTAAGTTTATCTTGAGAGAGAGAGAGACGTGTGTGCATGTGTGTGTGCATGCATGCAAGAGTAGGGGAGAGACAGAGAGAAAGGGAGACAGAGAATCCCAAACAGACTCCATGTTATCAGCGTAGAGCCCTACATGGGGCTCGATCCCATAAACTGTGGGATCATGACCTGAGCTGAAATCAAGAGTCTGGCACTTAACTGACTGAGCCACCCAGGCCTCCTCAAGTTTTTATTTAAGTTTCAGTTAGTTAGCATACAGTGTAGTATTAGTTTCCAGTGTACAATATAGTGATTCAACACTTTCACGCAACGACCCGTGCTCATAACAACAAGTGCACTCCTTGATCCCCATAAGATATTGAGTATGAACTCATTTGTATTTTTTTAAAAAGTTTGTTAAAAGTTTCACAAAAACATCTCTGAGGATATACATTTAACCAGTAACTGCAGTTCTATCTTGAGTGAGAAACGAAGGGGCTGTTCTGTTTATCTAGTTCTCCATGACAACTCACCTTAAAACATTGTGGCTTGAAGCACCGTATTCATGTATTAATTCTCCCTGTTTATGTGGATCAGGAATTTGAAAGCTGCAGCTGGTGGTTTTATCATATTCAGAATATCATCAGACTGTGGCTGGGGTTGGGCCATCTTTGAACACTTGTTCATTTATACTTAGGCTGCTTGCACTGGAAAGGTCTGAACAGCTGGGTCTCCTAGAAATCTCTGGGTGTTTCATGGTCTCTCCAGTGTGGCAGTTTCAAGGTAGCTGGGCTTTTTGTATGGCCTCTGACTCCAAAAATGAATGTTCAGAAAGAATGAGAAACAAGCAGAAGCCTGCTGCCATTTATGACCTAGTCTTGAAAGTCACTTTTGACACTTTCTTCTAGTCAAAGAGTTACAGAGGCCTGTCCAGGCCTCAGGGGAGGAGTCTAGACTCCCACCTCTTTTCACTTTCTTTTCTTCCAGTTTTAGTGAGATACCACTGACATATAACATTTTATTCGCTGAAGGTATACGATGTACTGATGTTACATGTGTATGTATTGCAAAATGATTACCGCAGTTAAGGTTAGTTAACACATCCGCCACCTAACATAGTTACAATGTGTGTGTATGTGGTGAGAACTTTTAAAATCTATTCTTCTAGCAACTTTCAAATGTACAATACAGTGTTGTGAACTATAGTCACCATATTGTATATTACATCCGAATGATTTATTCATTTTATAACTAGAAGGGTTTTTTGTTTTGTTTTTTTTAAGTGAGCTTTATATCCAACATAGGGCTTGAAGTCACAACCCACAACCCTGTGATCAAGAGTCACACGCTCTATCTACTGAGCCATCCAGGAGCCACGGAAAATTTATTCCTTTTAACCACCTTTACCCATTCCTCCCATCCCCACCTCCTGTCCCATCCTATCACAAGGGATGATGAAATAGCTCACTTCTTCACTTCAATTTCCTTTGTGCACTCCATCACCATTTTTGCGACTATACTGGTTACCTTAAAATCAACTATTAAAACACAGCATTAAGAACTATAAAAGCAGTAAGATAGGAAACATTTTACATAGGGAGGTGGACCCAATTATTTAAGCTATAAAGTTAGTGTGACAAATTATATTAGAATTTAGTTGTCTTTAACATCCAATTTAAACTAAATGCCTCTCTCTCAATTCACTTCTCAAGGGAAACTTCAAACGCACAGTGGAGTTTATTGTGCTGCTAAAAATAAAATCATTATGATACCATATTAGAAATTGTAGTAGGGGCACCTAGGTGGCTCAGTTGGTTAAGCATCCAATTCTTTAAAAAAATGTTTTAACGTTTTATTTTTTAAGAGACAGAGAGAGATAGCACAAGCAGGGGAGGAGCAGAGACAGAGGAAGACACAGAATCCAAAGCAGGCCCCACCCAGGCTCTGAGCTGTCAGCACAGAGCCTGATGCGGGGCTCGAACCCACGAATGCAAGATCATGACCTGAGTCAAAGTCAGATAATCTACCACGTGAGCCACCCAGGCACCTCAAGCATCCAATTCTTGATCTCACCTTAGGTCTTGATCTCCGGGTCCTGAGTTTAAGCCCCACATTGGGCTCCATGCTGGGTATGGAGCCTGCTTTAAAAAAAGAAGAGAAAAAGAAAGAAATTGTAGTAGACGAGAAACCCTGGTAAAAATGAAAACTGGCTCATTATTCTAGGAATAGGGAAGGGAAATGGGCTAAAAATTGGAAGACCAAGCAACAGAAGAAAACAGAAGACTCAGCATGGCAGAGACTGCCAGTGGACAGCCCAGCTTCCAATTGGACCCCCCTTACTATTGGGTACAGCAATGTATCCAGTCCAATAAAAGTATTAAGTTTGCCAGCTTAACAAATAAAAACACAGGGCCCTCAGCTGAATTTGTCTTAGTATAAGCCTGTCTCATACAATATTTTATCTGGCAATCCTGAAAAGCTTATTTACCAACCTTCCTCATAGATATGGGTGATCAAGATCCAGAAGAATCCGCCGCAATGGTCAGGATTACAGACTGAGAAAGGAGGTTGCTGAGCACTGATGACATCACAGAGCGACTGACCGTACAGGCTGGATTTTTCCTACAAGCTTCTTACTTGTGTAGGTTTGTTATTTCAGTTTTCTGTTTTATGTAATTAAACTCAATCAGTCCTAACTCAAACACTTTGTGTGCTATTGTCAAAGCAGTATTCTCTATCCAAGCAGAGTAGAAGAAGGTATCAGCAGAGGATGGGGTTGCAGATAATTAGCCAAGACCCTTATACACAGGTGACTGGCCTCAGAGAGGTCTAGAAACAGGCATCCAAGACTGGGTCAAGAAGGCTGGAATTCTAAAGCAAGGAAATTTAACCCTTGTAGGAAATGGGGTGGCAGGTAAAGGCTTCCTTCTAGAGGGATCCGATCATGATGTCAGATCAGTTTTGGTGAAAGACTACCTTGAGTGACATGCTGACTTCTATTGTCCCTACCTGAGACTGGCCTGGCTTCAGGGGGAGAAAACCATGTTAACTGCTCTTAGCTGCACAGGTCAGAGTGCTAAGTTACAGCCAATGTTTACATTAGCTAATGAGGGCTTATTATTTGCCAGCCAGGGTTCACCATGCCTTTTGTGTATTAGCTTATGCAGTTGTCCTAACAGTGCTAGGAGGAAAGCATGATAATTATCCCCATTTCACAAGTGGGTACAGTAAGGCACAGAGACAGTAGAGCTGAGATTTCAACTCAGACTACTTGCTTCTAGGCTCTTGTTTTTAACCATTGCGGTCTGCTGCTGCTTAGCCCCTAAGTGCCAGCTCACAAACTTGTGTTCAATTATGATGACATTTTCACTGTGACAACATTTTCACTAATATACAGTGATGTGAAACAAAGAATGATAATATAGTGAACTTTAAAAATTTTTTTAACGTCTATTTTATTTTTGAGACACAGAGAGACAGAGCATGAACGGGGGAGGGTCAGAGAGAGGGAGACACAGAATCCGAAACAGGCTCCAGGCTCTGAGCTGTCAGCACAGAGCCCGACGCAGGGCTCGAACTCACGGACCGCGAGATCATGACCTGAGCCAAAGTCGGCCGCTTAACTGACTGAGCCACCCAGGCACCCCTATAGTGAACTTTTAAAAATAAAGTTAGATTCACTTAATGTAAAAGGCCATAATTTATTTTGAGTATATCCATCCTCCTGAAATGAGGGCAATAGTAAGAAATTATTGTTAATCTTTAAAGTTTTAAAAACTCTTGGCAAATAAAAAGGAGCTAGCCCTATACAACAGTTGGAAAATTGATACCATGCGTGTGCTCCAAGTGTGGAGGATTTTTTTTTTTAATTTTTTTTTTCAACGTTTATTTATTTTTGGGACAGAGAGAGACAGAGCATGAACGGGGGAGGGGCAGAGAGAGAGGGAGACACAGAATCGGAAACAGGTTCCAGGCTCTGAGCCATCAGCCCAGAGCCCGACGCGGGGCTCGAACTCCCGGACCGTGAGATCGTGACCTGGCTGAAGTCGGACGCCCAACCGACTGCGCCACCCAGGCGCCCCAGTGTGGAGGATTTTAATACCGGGAGCTAGAGACCTACAGACTTTGGAAGGGCCAGCACAGTAAAGGACGCTCTCGCCAAAGACTGCAGCCTGCAGCCCAAAGTGGGTAGTCCTCCAAGGCTCACCTGAAATCTACTTTTTTTTTTTTTTTTAATTTTATTTTTGAGGGAGAGAGACAGACTGTGAGCAGGGGAGGGGAAAAGAGAGAGGGGAGACACAGAATCTGAAGCAGGCTCCAGGCACAGAACCTGATGTGGGGCTCAAACTCATGAACTGTGAGATCATGACCTGAGCCAAAGTTGGACGCTTAACTGACTGAGCCACCCAGGCGCCCCTCACCTAAAACCTGCTTTTAAAGTCAAGACCGTAAGGGAAGCGCGCACAAACCATCACAGCTGCAGCACCATCAAGGTGGTCTTGGCAGCCAACATTTCTGAAGCAGGTAGTTCCTTGAGGTGCATCTGGAGACTGCTGAGAACTGTGGATCCACCATCAGCTCACATACCTGCCTGTGGTGGCCTCCAAAGAGTGATAACTTTACCTTCTCTTCCACTGTCTACATCTCACTGCAGTGCTTCTCACTGACAGACCTGGAACTACATGGGGAAGGGGATCCTGGAAAATGTGAATCTCGGCTTCTCTTTATTATGAAAGAGCAAGGAAATGATATCGAAAACAGACTATCCTAGGTTTGTCTCTAAGCTTTTTTCTTTTATTTTTTAAAATACATTTTAAAATTATAGTTTTAACATTCTGTTTTATTTTTTAAAATCTGTGTTCCAAAACTGAATCTAGTGGGAATGTAGAATGGTAGAGCCACTCTGGAAAACTGTTTGCCAGTTCCTTGAAAATTGAGATCTATTACTACCACGTGATCCAACAATTGCACCCCTGAGCATTTACCCCAAAGAAACAAAAATTTATATTCACACAAAGCCTGTACACAAATATTCAAATAGTAGTTCATTTGTAATAAACTGTGGTATATTCATACCATGGAATGCTACTAAGCCATAAAAAAAAAATGAAATCTTAAATGGAAAGATATTCCAGGCTCATGGGTTGGAAGAACAAATATTGTTAAAATGTCCATACTACCTAAAGCAATCTACAGATTCAATGCATTACCTATCAAAATACCAACAGTATTTTTCACAAAGCTAGAGCAAATAATGCTAAAATTTCTTTGGAACCACAAAAGACCCTGAATAGCCAAAGGAATCTTGGTAAAGAAAAACAAAGCTGGAGGTATCACAATTCCAGATTTCAAGATGTACTACAAAGCCATGGTAATCAAAACATTATGGTACTGGCACAAAAACAGACACATAGATAAATGTAACAGAGCAGAGAGTCCAGAAATAAAGCCATGTGTATAAGGTCAATTAATCTATGATAAATGAGGCAAGGATGTATAATGGGGAAAAGACAGTCTCTTCAACAAATGGTGCTGGGAAAACTGGACCACTTTCTACACTTGATCTTAGCCAAAAGGCCGAGAAGCGATTACTGGACCACTTTCTAACACCATGCACAAAAATAAACTCAAGATGGTTTAAAGACCTAAACGTCAGACCTGAAACCATAAAAATCCTAGAAGAAAACATAAGCAGTAATTTCTCTGATGTTGGCTGTAGCAGCATTTTTCTAGATGTGTCTCCTAAGGTAAGGGGAAAAAAGCAAAAATAAATGTTTGAGAATACATCAAAATAAAAAGCCATTGCACAGCAAAGGAAAACATCAACAAAACAAAAAGGCAACTTACAAAAGATATTTGCAAGTGACGTATCCAATTCGAGGTTAGTATCCAAAATATGTAAAGCACTTACACAGTTCAACACACATACACACACACACACACACACACACACACACACACACACACACACAAATAGGTTAAGAAATGGGTAAAGGACCTGAATAGACACTTTTCCAAAAAAGACATACAGATGGCCAACAGAAAGATGAAAAGATGCTCAACACCTCTAATTACCAGGGAAATGCAAATCAAAACCACAATAAGATATCACCTTACCTCTGTCAGAATAGCTAGAAACAAAAAGATAAGAAATAACAAGTGTTGGTGAGAATATGTAGAAAAAGGGACTCTCGTGCACTGTTAGTGGGAATGTAAATTGGTACAGCTACTGTGGAAGACAGTATGGAGTTTCCTTAAAAAATAAAGAAATAGAAATACCATACAATCCAATAATTTCACTATCAGGTTATCTACCTAAAGAAAACAAAAACACTAATTAGAAAAGATACATGCTTATGCATGTTTATTGCAACATTATTTATAATAGCCAAGACATGGAAGCAACTTAAGTGTCCATTGAGAGATGAATGGGAAAGGAAGATGTGTATGTATGTATATATATATGTATATATATATATACATATATATATACATATATATATATATATGGAATATTACATAGCCATATAGAGAAGGAGATTGTGCCACTTGCGACAACATGGATGGGCCTAGAGGGTATTATTCTAAGTGAAGTAAGTCAGGCAGAGAAAGACGAACACCATGTGATTTCACTCATATGTGGAATCTAAAAAAACAAATGAATAAACAAAAAGCAGAATCAGATCTATAAATACAGAGAACAAACCGATGGTTGCCAGAGGGGAGGTGGGTGGAGGTATGGGCAATATGGGTGAAGGGGAGAGTGGGAGGTACAGGCTTCCAGTTATGGAATGAGTAAATCACAGGAATAAAAAGCACAGCATAGGGAATATAGTCAATCATACTGTAACAGCGTTGTATGGTGACAGATGGTAGCCACACTTGTGGTGAGCTTAGCATAACATATAAGCTTGTCAAATCACTATGTTGCACACTGGAAACTAATGTAACACTGCATGTCAACTATACTTAAAAATTTTTTTAAGTAAAAAGAATAAAATATTGATACATGCGACAACTTGAATGGATCATCAAAGAATTATGTTGAGTGAAAAAGGCCAGTTTCAAAATGTTACATACTGTATGTTTCCATTTATATAACATTATTTAAAAAATAGAACAGATTAGTGGTTGCTAAGGGTTAGGGCAGGATTAAGGAAGAAGATATCTGTGGCTGTAATAGGGAGGCATCAGGGATCCTAGTGATCAGCTACTTTGTATCTTGACAGTGGTAGTGAAGATATAAGTTTATACATGTGATAAAATTACAAAGAACTAAATACACATAAACACATAAATGAGTACATGTAAAACTGGTAAAACTGAATTAGGTGGATGGATTGTATAAAAACAATTTTCTGGCTGTGACCTTGTGCTGTAATCATACAAATTGGGGGCAACTACATGAAGAATATACATAATCTCTCTATATTATTTCTTACAACTGCAGGTGAATCTACAAAGACCTCAAAATAAAAATTCTAGATAACTCTGAGATATGGAACCTTCAGCACAGGATTTGAAGAAAGGATTCCAGCACTGAGCAGAAGGTGGGACTAAAGAAATGTCAAGGCTTCTTCAGACTCTTAGGATTCTCTTATTTTTTTCTTTCATTCATTCCTCTTCTGTTTTTCTTTCTTCCTTTTTCACATTTCCTTCTATTTTCTATCTACCAAGATAAGTGTGAGACTTCCCACTGGAATCCATTGCTGTTGCTTTATTGATGAAATCCTAAAACTCCTCAGTTTGGCTCCAGAACCCTCCATAATTTAGTCTCTGCCAACTCCTCTAGCCTGAAAGTCCAACAGTTGTCCTTCACAGTCCAGAGAAACCAAAGACTGGATACTATGCTGCCTTCTACCTGCCAGTCCCTCCCTCCACCCCCTGTGGTGTTTTCTTTGACTTGCCTTTCTTCGGAAGACTCATGGTGGTCCTTGATTTCACTTATTCCACTTTTTTTTTTTTTTTTGAGACAGAGAGAGAGAGTTCAAGCTTGGGAGGAGGAGGGGGAAGAGAGAGAGAGGGTGACAGAGAGAGAATCTCAAGCAGACTCCACACTCAGCACACAGCTTAACACAGAGCTCGACCCACACCCTGGGATCATGACCTGAGCCAAAATCAGGAGTTGGACGCTCAACCAACTGAGCCACCCAGGCACCCCACTTGTTCTGCTTTCAACTAACCCTCTCACAGGGTTAGTCAGTCAGCTTACCCAGGCATAGATCTGTAAGTGGCATAAAACGTGCCCCCCCCACCCCAATCTGGAAATGTGGTGCTGGTAAACCTAGATTTTGATGTGCATCTCCTTATATAAGTGGAGAAATTGAAATCAGTCCAAATTCTAATTTTAGTGCATATAAGAAATCTGTTAGTTTGAATTTGAACATGTAAGAGGAAAACTTAATTTATTATTAATAATCCTTCACTGACTTCTAAGGAAAGTGGATCTCAATGAACTAGAGGATCAATCTTGGAGCCTTTGGCACGCAGCAAGACAGAAATAAGTAGAAACAAACGGTTGTTGTGCAAGTTTGCTACAAGAGCTGGGCAGAGTGCAAGTGCTTGGCCTAAGAGAGTTTAGGAGAGAAGAAGGAAGCTCCAAGAAGGTAGGGATCATCCTCAGGAAGGCTTGCTGCTGCAGGGAGGAAGAGGGGCTTTCAAGCCAAATACAGAGATTTGAAGGAAGAGCACAGCTAAAGGACTCTCTCTCTTCCTTCTTTTCCCTTTTTGTGAAAAGCTATGCACTATTCCCCAGTGGAATTTTCAGAAAAATGTCTACTTGAATCACTTACTTTATTTTCATTTTTATTTGTTTTTTTTCAGTGTCTATTTATTTATTTTTGAGACCGAGCACAAGCGGGGGAGGTGCAGAGAGGGAGACACAGAATTCAAAGCAGGCTCCAGGCTCTGAGCTGTCAGCACAGAGCCCAACGCGGGACTCAAACTCGTGGACTGTGAGATCATGACCTGAGCCAAAATCAAGAGTCCAACACTTAACTGACTGAGCCCAGTCAGGTATCCCTACCTTATTTTTAAACGGAGTTTTGTTTTGAGGAAACTTAAAGAAGATGAATATTCTGCTGGCATAAGGGTTACAGACATGAAGAAAAAATATAAATGTCAATTTGCAGAAAATTAGTTTATCCTTCGTGTGTGTGCGCGCGCGCGCACGTGCGCGCGCGCACAAACACACACACACACACACACACACACACACACACACACAGTTAAGGAAATATCTTTAAGATATTGGTTTGAAGAGATACCAAGTGACTAGCTTATCCAGAGTCCACAGATTCCTTAATACGACCATACTTTTTATGGATTGCCCCGTAACACTTGACTTTCCATACACCAACTACTCCCAAGGAGTGAAGGATTTTCATGCTGGTACTACCTGCTGGATTATTGGATGGCTCCATTATTTCTGTTAAACAGTAGTTTGTATTCTTTTTAGAACGCTTTAATTGCATCTGGTCCTTATTGTTTCATAAAAATGAGTCAAAAAAAATACTAGTGCTAATACTTGTAAAAAGTATAAACCCATTCACTTGATACAACTGAGAAATGCATCCTCTAGGAAAAAAAGAGGATCCATTATAAGAAAATGACAAAATTAGTCAATCTGTGCCTAAAGAGCAGTTGAGATTAGAGCAGGGGAGGGGCACCTGGGTGGCTCAGTCAGTGAAGCCGAAATCGGACTCTTGATTTCTGCTCAGGTCATGATCTCACAGTTCATGAGATTCAGTGTGGTGCTCTGTGCTGACAGTGCGGAGCTTGTTTGGGATTCTCTCTCTCACTCTCTCTCTCTGCCCTTCCCCCACTCCCTCTCTGTCTTTCCAAATACATAAATATTTAAGAAAAAGATTGGCGCCTGGGAATGGGAGAGCAGAGTGGAGCGCTTCAGGGAAAAAAGGGATTTGATTGATTAAGTGATGTGTCTGGCATTTGGAAAAGCTATTGCTGCAAGTACAGCAGATTGATAGAAAAAATTAAGGATTATCAACATTGGAAATTAAGAAAAAAAAGGCAGTGGTTAACTCTAAAAAAAAAAAGATGTAAAATTAAAAAAAAAAAAAAACACACGACTTATCTCAACAGTAAACAATTACATAGTTATAATAATAATGTTGATTTACCCCCGATGTGACCTAACTCTGTTGAATGAATGAGAATAGTGAAAGTAGGGTTAGAGCTTTATTCTCCATAAGAAGAAGTGGATAGATTTCTAAAATTTGTAATCAAGAAATAGCAGTGTAGGAATATTATTTCGAAATATGCCCAAAGGGGGAAAAAAAAGAGATATGCCCAAAGAAACAGCTAAAAGTTGCCTGTCATGACAGATATCAGAATTGGTGAATGGTGAAACAGGAACTGCTGTTTTTTATTACAAGCCTTTTTTCACTATTTGATTGTTTTTTTATTTATAAATTTTTTTAATGTTTATTTTTGAGAGAGAGAGAGAGACACAGAATCTGAAGCAGAGTCCAGGCTCTGAGCTGTCAGCACAGAGCCTGATGTGGGGCTCGAACTCATGATCTCTGAGATCATGACCTGAGCTGAAGTTGGTCACTTAACCTACTGAGCCACCCAGGCGGCCCATTGCTATTTGATTGTTTTAACTGCAATGCATTATTTTGATGAGCAATTAATTCATTAAAGAATACTTTTAATTAATTATTTTAACAATTATTAATAATTAATAATTATTTTATTTATTTATTAATAATTATTGGCAAGTAATTAATTAAACAATATTTTAAAGTGGGGGACTGCCCATATCATCTCCTTTATGACTTTCATCTATTGTTCAAGAGGAAGTTAACTGTCATATGCTAGTTGTTTCCCTTTAACATGTAAAATACATGATATTGACAGATATCTTGCTTGAAGTTCCCAAGATGTGTTAACTGCTGGGAGCCAGATGTGTCATAGAGCACATAGAGGTACCTGTCAATACCTAACTGTTACCTCTGTTCCTGCCTGAGTACTTCTGCCCTTGTGTTCTGACTCTGGCCCTACTGTTAGCTCCAAAGTGGTATGTTTTAGTTCTGAGTACTTTGGCTTGGTTCTATGAAAGTCTATATCCTTGCTCGTTTGGTCTAAGCTAAGTTTACCTTCTCATCTTTCTGGAAACCTCTTCTCCTTTCCAAATTTTCTTTCAAACTCCACTTTTTCTTTCTTTTTCTTTTCTTTTCTTTTTTTCTTTTTTTTTTTTTAGCATACTTTATTCATTCACCCAACAGGCATTTTTTTAAGCCATTATTCTGGGTCAAACCCTATGCCACAACCCGGAGATAGGAAGAATATATGGTCAGAGGAGATAAATTTCTTAAGTTACAATTTGGATTTCTTTCAGAAGATTAGGGTGCCACTAACCCTCTTGTCTTCTAGGAACATACATGAAAAGATCACTAGGCAAATAAACAGGATGTGCACCACTCTCTCAATCTAGGCAGTAGCCACAAACCCTGCCTTAATGCAAGCCTGAGATAAATGGCGGTGTTAGAGACTGCATTTGGAGTCTGGCTGCACTGGGGATTCCTACTTTGCACACTGATTAATAGACCTCTGTGCCTGCATATTCAGGCATGCAATTGTGAGGACATAGGCAGGACCTTCAGAACAGACCTTGAGTCCACTTATCCAAATAGTAAACAAAAGGCAAGGACCACAAGCCTCTTTTTTAAAATATTGGCTCTGGGCCCTGCCCAAATGTGCTTGCTGCCCCTACAGGAAGTAGAATCTGTTGGACTTGGGCTCAGAGTAGGAGGACAGGAGTCTTCAACACCAGTCTAGCTTGCCAGTGAAAGTGCATCAATGGCCGTCCCCAACTCTGACCAGTCATTTCAGTTACTCCTATGAAGAAGAACCAAGAAAGGGCAAATAGAGAGAGGATGGAAATGTAGTAGAGTTTCTCTCTTCCTGAGATTAAGGCAAACACACAAGGAAAGGGGGAATGAAAACCTTTGCCTGTTCAACAGTTTTCCTTACTCCTGTGTCTTCTTTCTTCTTTTCTTAAAAATAATTAGAAGCACAAAGATATAGAAGAAACTCAACGTTCAACTAGATCATGATTAAACACACTTCCTGTATTCATTACCATGAAAATATACTAATAAAGCATATTTGTTAAATATATGTATGGCCACCCCTAAAATGCATACATCAGGGAGAATTGACCTCAGGATATTTGGGGGCCCAGTGTTGTGGGCCACGTAATCACATCACATGGTATCCTTGAATGGTTGCAAGGATTGAATGAGTTAAAATGTACAAGTGCCTGGCATGCAGAGAGCCTTAGTTGCTGTTCTTGTTGTTACTATTATTATTAATTTTTATTTGTGTAGCATATTATAGTAATTATCTCATTTGATTCTCACAACTTCCTGTGAAGGAAGTAGAACAAGTCACATTGCTGCCCTTACAGATAAAAGTTTTTCAGTATTCTATGTGCGCAATTCAGATTTTCTGATTTCTGGTTCAAAACCCCAAACATGGGTAGATACCTGGTTTTCCTTATTCAGAAATGTAAAGATTGGATTTCTTGCCTTCTCTTTGGGAACTCCCAGATGATGACAAGGTGGAAATTTGAAATTCTTGTACTCTACTGGGAAAAGAAATGATCAGCTTGGATTATTTGCAGTATTTGGCTCTGCAGTTTCCTGGGAAAATCAATATGTGTTTAGACAACTGACAAACATTTGCTTTTTGTCTTGCACAAGAAAATATTTCACATGCTGATTGTTTTATTCCTCTTAAGTCAGATGGTTATGAAGAAAGAGAGGGGTGTGAACAAGATGTCACTCCCAATCCCTTTCCTGAAGGAGGTTGACTTCGTCCATTTGTCAGGGCAGGTGGGTATCATCATCCTCCTTTTTTTCTTAAACACATCGTTTAGCTTTATATAGATAAATTATGTATAATACATATATATAAATGCATATATAAAAGATACACATATGTATGTACATATGCACATACACACATGAATAAATAATTGAAAACATGCTCTGCACATTGCTCTTTAACCTGCTGGGTTTATTTAACAACATGATTAACCCCAAGAACGTTTTCCTATGTCCTATGAATTAGTTAGATTTGCATTCCACTGTAAAACCCAACATATCAAGGGTCAAACAGGTAGAAGTGATATTTGTTGTGCAAAATAAGAAACCTAGAGGTAGGCAGTCTAAAGCAGGTGTGATTTCTTCACGAGATGGACTCTGGCACCCTTAGGGTGCCATTTTAGACCTTGTGTTTGTTACCGCATTCTCACAAGATGGCTGCTCCACCCTTCACAGTGCATCTGTATCCCAAGGAAAAGGAAGAGAAAATGCAGAGAGCAAAAGGTCCATATCAGCTGAGACTGCTTCTGATTAAAGAGCTTCTCTAGAGTCCAACCTAACAACTTCCACTTACATTTCACTGGCCATATGGCCACCCAATGCCACCAGGAAACTGGTATCACCTGTTGTGTTCTTTAGGAAGCAGATGCTGGGTGGAGTTAGGAATGTAAAAGGTTTAATAGGGAGTAACACTTGTGAAAGAAGCAGGACACCAAACTGGTCAGGAGGGCCATCATTCCCTAATGCAGACCTGACAAATCTCTGCCAGCCCAATGTGCAGCCCCAGGACAAAGATTGCCATTAGGGAAGTCCTGTGTTGGGTAGAAATGGTTAGGCCTTTATATTACCATCTTATTTAGTCATTGGCTAGGAGCTGCCTCCAGGAGAGCATGATCTCAGCTTGAAATTTGCCAGGAGCTAAAAAAATGAGTCAGCTAATTTTGAGACTCTCATACTCCTTGAAGTGGGTAGCAACTCCTTTCTTAAAGCAAGGGGATCTGGGCGGCACATCTCTACATTTGCCACACTGGAAAGTGAAAGTTTTAATCTGGGCACACTGCCTTCCCAAAGATACTTGGAGTTCTGTTACTAGGGAAGAATAGAGGATATCATGTAGGTCATTGTTGTGTCTGATATGCTTCAAGTTTTCTACTCAGGAGACATGAACAGTCTTGTCAGATAAAAGCAGATTATTGAACAAACTTCCATGAGTAGTTGTGTGCCATGGTGGAAGGGTGTCCAGAAACAGAAATGTCATCTTCATTGGAGAGCATCTGTAGCTCATCTTCCCATGGCATCACACTGCCTCTCATGTTGGGTAATTCCAAAAGAAATGGGACTAGCTTAGAGGTGAAATGGTGAGCACAGGTAATGATACAAATAAATGTGCATAAGTGTTGCTATTTGTCTCCTCTCCTAATTTTGTACTTTTGTAAAGTCACTGGCATAATTTTGTTTTGTTTTGTTTTTCCTTTAGGCTTTTAAAGATTTGGCTCATTGATATTTTTAATTGGTAAACTGGGGAGAGACCAATTATTCAATCCTCTCTTTTGAGGCCGAATAATGCAGAGGCTCTTTGGATGATGCAAAGTCTCATTCAAAAAAGGAATTCTCCAGGGAAAACTGAAACAAGTGGGGTAAGCAATTTAGGAGTTATAGATTTTTTCCTTTAGGATGTTTTATCTCTCTGCTTTGCTGAAGTTGCTTCCTCTAATCTGAATATTTCTAATGCTATCAAGAAAAATTCCTTGTCCCTTGCAGCAGGAAATATGTTTCACATTCTTCAGATACAATGAAGAGTACTTGTGAAGCTCAGAAAGGATATCCTGAGTCTCTCTCTGTTCAGATATCTGGGCCTGTGCTTGGGCATGGATCTAGCTGTTTGATTAATTCTAAAAGACAGCCATGTGCATACAAGTAAAGCCTCAAAATGTGGAAATGTGACATAATAGAGAATACATCTGGGTCGTAGCTAATCTTGGAAAACTGGCGAATAATTTATTCTCCTAATTAGTTTCCTTGAAGTCTAACCAAAGTTCGCTGTTTACCAGTAATTAGGATCTCCATTTCAGCTCCTTCTTTCACAGAGAAAAACAGCATGATCAGTTTTAAATTGATAGTAATTAAAGGTTTTTTGATAATGTTTTTAATTAAAAATATATATTTACTATAGAAAATAGAGAAAAGCACCAGGATGATTAAAATTGCTCCTAATTACACCAGCTAGAAGAAATCAACATTATATAGTCTTTCAATCTTTCATAATATTTATACATTATATTTTGTACAGACAAAATGTGTATAGGTATAAAAATGCATGTGAATTGGGACCACGCTCTGCACTCCATTATGCTTAGCAACATACCATGAACATTTTTTCGTGTCATTAAGTTTCTTCTACAGCACACTTTTCAAAGGCTGCAAGGTGCTCCATGGAACACATGTAACATAATTTATTCAGCTAATCTGTTATTATTGAGTGTTTCATTTCTTTCTGATTTTACATTATTATAAATAATTTTGTGCTGAATAACCTTGTCACTCTCTCACACCCCTGGTTATTTCCTAAGGATAAATATATGGAAGAGGATGAACATTGAATATAGATACCCCTTGTTTCTGCCTACTCAGAATTCCTTCTTCTTCTTTTTTTTTTAAGTTGACAGAACTGACCTCCTATTCCACTATTTATCCATTTCCTTTCAGGAATTGCTTTTGCTCTCACCTGGTAGAACTTTTTGTCACATGGTTGGGATTGATCACAGTGTCCTGTTTCCTATCACCTCAAACACAGTGACTGGTCCAGGAGTGGGCATACGACCCAAGCAGGACCAGTAGGAGGGAATTTTTCTAAGTCTGATAATGATGTTTGGATAAAAACATCTCTTTTCTTCCAAAATTATGGACACCAAGGACTGTTTAAGGTTGGAACTGACAAGGGCCATCTATGCCACAATGATACCAACATAGGAAAAAGCGGAGCTGAGAGATGGAGACAGAAGGGAGATTTCTGATGACATCATTTCAGTTTCTGATTGCCCTAGACTTTTCCAATTACTTGGCCTAATATAGTCCTCTTTTTGCTTAAAATTATTTGAACTGGCTTTCTGACTTTAGGCAACCAAGACTTGACTAATGTAGATATCCTTAAGGTTTTGATACATATTTCCAAATTATTTCCCAGAGCAATATTGCCAAATAGACTTGTGGAATATGGAATTTTGAATTGAAGTGTAGTTGATATTGCTGCAACTTGCCAGCGTAGAATTAGTGATAAGAATCAATCTTATCTCTTCTTTCCATACCCTCATCCCCTCCTGATTAAAAAAGCATTGCAGACAAATCATGCTCGGGTGTGAGTAAAGGCAGGAATGTGATGAATATAGATCAGACAAGGGTTATATTATGCCCTTATGTCAGGCTGAGTAAAAGCCCTTGCTGTCAGGGAGGGGGTAAAAAGCTTTATGTACTCCTTACCAATTATATAGTGAGTCTCTAACACCTTTACTTTCCTCCCATCTTTAGAAGTGAAAGTTAAGAGAGGTCTTAAGAGGAGGCAGTTCAAGAAAGGAGCTAAATTATTCAGGAGTAAGTTGTCAACTTCAAGTTAGTGAGCCAAGGAAGAGTATTTTAGAGAGAAACTCAGTGACTGAACTAGGTGGGACCGATGTTTGGGAGCCAATTAAAGAGGCAGGCTGGTGAGCAGCTGTGGGAGGAGGTGGATTGGGGAAATATGATTTTAAAAGGCTGCTAAAATAACACTGGCAAAGACAAATCGACTCCAACGTTTCACTGGAATGACTTGGAAAGCTGTGCCTAATTCTGGTTCTCGTATCAATTGCTTATATAGTTAAGGAAATGCAAATTGGTTCCAGTCTCACTGGAGTAGGCACTGCCCTCAAAAGGAAATGAAAACAATACTCTATTAACAGCAGTCCACTTAATTTGCATACTTTTGAGATATACATGTTCACTAGTGGTCAGCTGAAATTCCTGAATCAATTAATGTGTGGCCTAGTGCTGTTTCTTGAGAAACAGCAAGTGGTTTGTTTTACTCACCCTTTCATATACCTCCGAAAACGGTTTCTGGTTCATAGAATTACAAATGAACAAAACTGGAGAAAGAAGAGAACTTCAGAAAAACAGGAACGAATTGTTGAATGCTTTTAGAACATTTCCTGCTGGTCAGTAGAAGTGAATTAGCAAGCAAATGTTTTTAACCCTACTTTTCATTGATTAAAAAAATAAGTTTATCCATATCCTGACCAAATCAATGTTGAACACACATTTATAGAATATTTGCTTGTAGGGGCCACTTGACTTTACCCAGGTCTTCTGGGAGGTTGAGAGTGAAGGATAGGATATAGCAGCAAAGGTAT